CAAAAAAAATAATTAATTTCAAAAAAAAATTTAAAAAATAGGCATGGCATGAACATATAACAAATGTAGAAGCTTTAAGTAATGCCAAAAAAGATAAGGAGGCTTTAGCAAGATGGAAAAGATTAATTGTAGGAATAAAAATAAAAATGAGAATTCATAGTGATTATTTTAGTAGAGGAGGAGATGAAACCGATGTTGAGTTGGAAGAAGGTGAAAACGAATTTTATCATGGAAATATCACTGAAGAAGAAGAAGAAGTTGTTGTTGTTAATGTTGAGGATGATGTAAATATTGAGAATGATAATGCTAATGATGACGTAGAAGCAGCATATAAAAAGTCGGAACAATATCAATCTATGGATATTGATGATGATGTTGATGTAACAATAGAGTCTTCTAAAGAAGAAGAAACTGTGATGCAAGAGGAAGATGATAGCGAAGAAGAAGAACAGGGAGAAGGTGATCATTTCGATACTAAGGGTGGCTTTTTAATTGATTAACAATAATAATAAAAAATTAAATAATAATTTCAAATTATTTGCCTATTTATATATTCATAATAATAAACAATGCAAAATAATAAATTAATATTTACATATTTAAATTAAAAATAAAAATTCTTTTTTAATCAAAATAATTATTATTGTTGTTGTCGTTGTCGTTGTTGTCAAATGACCATAATTCTGGTATTTTAATTTTTTCAAAATTTGGATAAACCAACTTTTCGCAAAAAGCGTTTCTTAATTTAGAAGTAATGATATGAGTAATTTTAGGAACATCTTCCAATTTTGATCGAGCTCCTATTAATGATTGTACACCAAATTCGAGCAAGAAATCCGGTAGTACGGATATTGTAATATAAGAAGATGACGATGATGAAGTATTAGTAGTATTAGTGTTAGTATTAGTATCATTACTATTGCTATTAATGCCAATAATACCACTAGTGTTACTAGGTGTTGATGATGACGATAGTGATAATGGTGGTAACGGTAATGATGATAAAGACGCTGATGGTGATGGTGGTAGTGACGACGGTGGCGGTAATGGTTCGGTGGTAGTAACAGTAGCTTTCACAATTTCCAAAGTTACCTATATATTATTGACTAAAAAAAATTTATATATAATTGAAAACGATTATATTATTGCTAGGAGAAAAATTTTTGAATATATTTTTACCGTTGCTTCAAATTTAATGACCGATAACACTAATGAAATCGGTAATACTGCAATTTTTGGTTTTGGCCAATTAATAAGAATTTGAGTATCTATTCCTAATGTTATATCATCATCGTAATTACAATTAATTTCTATTCTCTAATTACAATAATAATAATAGTAATAATAATAATAGTAGTAGTATTATTATTATTGTTATATAAAATAAAAGGCCAATTAGAAATCAAGAAATAAAAATTAATCAATTAAATAATCAAAATAATTTAATTTCATACCATTCTTCCAGAATTATCAATTGGTTTTACTCTTGCATTACTAAAAACTGGAAAATCTTCACCTAGGTCAAGTCTTGTAACTTTAATTGAGCCTAGAAAGCTAGGCTTCTCACCACCATTTAATATTCCATCCACATAACGAATTAGACTATTATCAGTTTTCGCATCATCTCTATATTGACAAATGATTTGAGCCAATAAAACATTAAGCCAATCAGATGATTCTGATCGAGTATTGTAAATTGGGTCGTATAGATTTTTATAAAACTTGATCAGTGTAGGTAATGATGCAGTGGTGGTGCCAGGATTAGCAGTAATTATGGTGTTGTTATTATGATTTGTTGTGGTTGCAAGAAGAGAAGAAATTGAAAGTGGTAATTTCTAAAAAAAATTTATTTTTTGTTGTTTATAAAAATCTACGACTTGTTCCATTCACAAACAAAAAAATAAAGGAAAAGGAAGAATAAAAAGAAAATATTACAAACCTTATTATTATTACCATTATTATTGTTGTTGTTATTATTTTCTTCAAATAACATATATTTTATAAATACTATGACTAAAATTACTATTGATAGTTGACCAAAAAAGAAGCCTTGTAAGAAAGACCAACTGTTGTTGCTTGGTATTCTTGAGACTGCACGGTCTATGTATTCTTGTATTTCAGGTGTAATTGATTGTGAATTCATTAAAATTTGTAATTTTTTTTAAAATTATCATTCATTGATTTGCCAATAAAATTCAAATTAATATATGAATAAAGTCTCAAAGAACCCCAAATAAGGATCGTCTAGGACCTCGAAGATCTTTTCCAAAAAAAACTTCAGCTTTCAACATTTTTTTAATATCACAGGAATTTAGGTTTCTTTATTATTAATGTTAGTTAATAAGAGGTATTTTCAAAAGCAAGTCCTAATTTTGAGAAGTTAACTCAGTTTGTTTAAAATTTTATTCAACGTCATTGGAAAAAGAAACAAAAATCATTATTTATCTTTAATGGTTTAGGATGGTCAACATCCAACATAGTTGGATATGAATTCTTTATTATCAATATAAAATGTATACACAAAGTCATAATAAATAGTTTTCTTTGCCATCCCAACTATTTTTCCTCTTTGAATGGGGTGATTAATTAACCAATATGAAGCAGAACATACTTCAAAAATAATTTTATACCCTCCCTGGACTGGGTTTTAAAAATATTTCGAAATTATGTAATGAGCCATCCCTGTTTCTCACAAATTACATCCAGTATTTTAAACTCAGACAGGACATAAAACAGTTACCCCCTGGGCCATGTAAGCTCCCCTCTTGGTAGAAAGGGCCCGCCAAGGCTTATATGTTACCCAGGGACAACTAATAAATGCTACGCATGTTTTTTCCTACCAAAATTTCCTCAAAAATGTATATATATCCTTTCCCACACATAAAATTGAAATTTTCATCATGACTAACTTTAATGTTGTTAAATATGCAATGAAGTGTACCTATTATTTATATATGGGGCATGCTGCAACAAAACCAGACAAAGCGAACATTGGTATTATCAAAGAATTTCAGGGATCAAAATTAGTCATTTGTAATGTGATTACAATTAACAGTTTTATAATATCCCATTTGTTATCTTAAGTGATATATAGAATTATCCCTATATAAAAATAATAATATAAAATTGATTTATATCAGATCTACTATGGAACCCAAAAATTACAGCACCATTAGAAGTATTTTGAAGAAAGAACAAGGTGAAAAAATTGCTCCTTATATTCTATCCAAGAAAAGAAAGGATTACCTATGAAATTTACCAAGAAAGAAAAATCATAAATGTTAAAAAAAGAAAGCAGCATGAAGATGAATCATTACCCAATGTAAATCATTGGGTTGGTCATAATAGTTGATCATCAAAAATAATAAGCATCAATAATAAAATTTCATACATGTGGATTTTTTAATCATTATTTTGAAAAATTTAACACTTCCAAAATTTTATAATAATCAATAATTTTGAATCTTTACAAAAAATTTTTTTACTAATATAAATGAAAAAAACTCTGATGACTATTTGGAAATAAAATCACAGAAAGATTATTTTCACAGCCTGCTTGCTTATTGAGCTTTTAGATTTTTAAAGTTAATCTAAGCATTTTTCTTGAGTTTTATTGGAGTTATAGAATTCCCTGAGAGGGACCAACTGGAATAGGAATTAACTTATTTGGACACTTGTGGAATACTCCATTCACCATATAATTCCACAATATCACCTCAAGAACTTTCTGATAAGCACAGTATTTCTTTCTTAAGTTTTAAAATTGAATTTTTATTTTTATGTCTTTAGTTGAATGTTGCAGTATTATGCACAGTAAAAATGAAATAAACTATATTTGTAAGTGATGATGTTTACTATTTATATCAAAAAATAGTGATATATTTTAAGAATAAGCAATCTTTATTATATAAAAAATTTTCAAAGCTTTGTATTCAAAATTTTGCTTTTTCTTTTGTGTTTTGGGGTGTTGTCTGGTATCTTTATCCACCTGTCCACACAATGGGTATTATTGCTGTTTAAAAATTTTTCTTTTGATATTTTCCCCTTTACATCTTTCCTGACCCATGAGTAGTTTCTATATTAATATATAATTAGTCATATGACATATTGTGAGATCAAAATTCTGCGTCTCACACAAATCTCTTGATTTTTATTTATACTAATATTTATTCCGTTTTCTGGCAGTATCCAATTATTTAATTCTTGATTACTTTCTTTCATTATAGCGCTCAAGCTATTTAATTATTTACAGGGCAAGTTTTCTTACTTACCTTCTGGTAACGTTTTCTCAGCAGTTGCTATGTTTGCTGCCTGAGCCAGAACGTGTCAATTATTATCTCCTCCGATAATAATCCCAGTATCCTCCTTGATACCGATGTGTTGTGTTTATATAGATGGTTCAGTGTTTCTAACTGACTGCACCTAGCTAGGGGTTTCCTCTGTTTAGGCATTGGCCTAATCTAAAAATAAAGAAAATAAAATTAAAGAAATATATACAACTATACTTATCAAAGGTGTCCCCCTGGTAAGATAGTAATTAATTATTAATTACGAAAATGTAATTTTCGAAGATAAAAAGGACAAGGTCAAGGTCAAGGTTTATTTATTATAATAAAATGATGGTGTAGGGGTCCAAAACCTATTCGGCCACTTCCTAAAGACTGACAAAAAGTCTTTGCCTGGGGTGGGTTTTGTGTTAAAGGGAAGACTAGCTTGTTTTGCTTCACTGAGATTATGAATGGAGAGTTTTATGTTGAAATTTTGTGCCAGCACTAAGGTTGTGGGCGAAACCTCTTAATGACTGTTGAAACTCTGCCGAAACTCTAATAAACAATTAATGTGTAACCTGTCAAAACTCTGTCGATTGATTTCTGGAGGAGTTTCTCCTGCAACCTTAGCCAGCACCTTCCAGAAATCAGAAGGATGCTTGGTAGGCGGTGGAGATTCCAACAAGACAATGACCCGAAGCACACTAGTCGGGTTGCCAAAAATTTCCTTGATGAGTACTTCCCTGAAGTTACCGATTGGCAGCTAACAGCCCAGACCTTAATCCCATAGAAAACTATGGAGTATTGTCAAACGTAATGTAGAAAGCGTATGCCAGCAAATATTAGCGAGTTGCGGCAGTATTTGGTCGAGTAATGGGAAAATTCCAAGTTCTATGTTGTCTAACTTTGCTTCATCAATGAATAATCGTTGCCAGATGATAATTGATAGCACGGCAAATGAATCAATTATTAATATATATATATCAATAAATTTCTTGTTTTTTAGGCTGTTAAACAAGCTATTGTATCCTCAATTTAAATAAATATTTATCGAATTATTATAAATAAACGGAGGTCAATTTTTTTTGTTACACACTGTATGTCCACATGTTAAAACTTATATCACATTCTGAGCATTTTAGACAATTGTATGATTGGTTTCTTTTGAAATATTCAGCATAAAGATTTGGAGACTAGAAAGAGACATGATAACAGTTTTGTAAATAATAAATCTTTACAGCAAATACACATTGTTTTATAATATTAATATTAGCCTCTACTAAAGAAACTTGCCGTAAATGTTTGGACTGGTAGCTGCCATTGCCATAAATAGCTGTTAGTAGCTACAATTTGCCGTAAATAATTACTGCTGCCGTAAAATAGATACAGTTGCCGCAAATAGCTACGGCTGACGCAAATAGAGACAGCTACCACAGGATATTAAAATATCTTGAATCACGCCCGATATGGTGAAGTGGTTTTGACCTCACTTCCTTAAATAAATTTAATAATTATTATTATTTAATATTAACAAATGGTCTTTTGGCGAATTACAAAATGGTTTTTTGAAAAATAGGCTTTTGGCGTGAATTGTAAAAAGATTTTTTGAATTGTAAAAATGGTCTTTTGGCGAATTGCAAAAAAAGACTTTTGACATTATCCTAATAAATCATTTAAATTGTAAAAGTTAGACTTTTGGCGTGAATTGTAAAAATGGTCTTTTGGCGAATTATAAAAAATTGCTTTTGACATTATCTTAACAGATCATTTAATTGTAAAAAAAATAGACTTTTGGCGTGAATTGTAAAAGGATTTTTTGAATGGTTATAGATGGGCAGATCAGTACTATACGTATAATAGTTCTAGAAAAATATAGTAGTAAATGTAAATCAATTCCTGTTTAGGTTATTGCCAAATAATAGATGTGATGTTA